TTTCAGTCACATGTTTACATGCCAAACTTCCCAACTAATTTGAGTCATGGTTTCTTCTCAATTTGCAGCCCCAATGTCACACACAGAGAAGGCTCTCAAACAGTTTTAATGACCACACAGCCCCTCATCTCTTACCTGAACCTCTTAAGTCACCCAAATAGAAACCTTCTCTGGAGGTTTTGTAGTTTCTATGCACTTCTTTTGACTTCTAACCAACACTATCTTTCTAAAGCACATAATGTTATCATTCCACCATTTAAAAATTTTGTTTCTGTTTTGTAGCTGACTGAAACCAGAACCTTCTCAATGAACTACATGCTTAGCCCTTCTTTTATTTTTTATCTTGAGACAAGAGCTCACAAATTACCTGGCTGAGCTTAATTAAACTTAGGCTTTTCCTGCCTTAACAGCTCACAGCATTGGGATTACAGGTGTGGACCATCACACCCTGCTATGTATAAAAATTCTTTTGGCATGACACAGAAAGCCCTTCACCATCTGAATGTTGTAGTGTCCTCTTCTCTACTCCAGTCCTACATTCTACCTGTATTTTACTTCTTGCCTGTTAATGAATATGCTGTCAGACTTCACACTTTTGAACAAGCAGCCTCCTCTACTTGGAATAGCCATCCTTCCTCACTCACCTGGTGAATTCCTACTTTATTCTTCAACATACTGCTCAAATAACTTCCTCAGGTTTCCTCCAGAGTGTCAAACCATTCCTACACTCTGTTGGTATTATGCCTTTACCTCATTTGCCATCTGGTATTGTTATATGACTGTGATATCCCCAACTAGTCTCTAGAGTCTTAAAGTAAGACAGGGACTATGTCCTACTAATCTTCTGTACAGGATATGTCTAAAAAGAGCTCACTGAATTAGTGGAATACAATTTTACTAACAGATCCTATACTCAAGCAAAACTCAAATACAAATAAATTCAAGGTAGGTAACTCTTCCAAGATTAACTAAAAGGGAGTAAAATTACAAAGAACCATTCCCTCCATTTCTGTTGCTCAATCCTGAATTCTATAGACTGGAGCAATTTCTTCTGTGGTAATTAATTTCATTGGTAAAATACACAGTGAGGTAATCTCAACATGAGCTTTGAAAAACATATAAGCACAAGGCACGTGTTTCCTGCATTAGTATACTACATAAGATTACTAACAAATTCTTTGAATGTGTGTCTTAAGGATAAAGAGATGAGTCATTTTATACGCCTTGAAATAAACCCTTAAAGACCAGGAAAATTCCTGTCTGTTTACATATAATCACATGATTGCATTCATCAGTCCTAAATGCATTTAGGCTACAAGGACTGCAAAAACACTGTCTGCCAATTATGTAATAAGCCCAACATTGTTTGCTTTTCATTAAAAGGGGTAATTTTTAAAGTGTATGTCAATCCTAAACTAACAGGGAGACTGGGTTAGGACAAAGAAAAAGGAAATTAAAAAACCTGTCAATTTAAAAGATTCACCAGCCTTGGTCTAACTTTTTTTTTTCAGTCATTACCTATGGTAAAAGAAAAAGGTCTATGGCCATACCATCTCAAATGTACCTATCTTGTCTGATAAAAGAAATGTCCTAAAAAGTCAAAAGGTCTTGGTTTCACATTCAAAAGCAGTATACTTCTGAATCATCTTTGATATCGAGTCAAAAAACTTTTTTTAATTCATTAATCATTTTTTTGCTTTTTTTTTTTTTTTTTTTAGTACCAGGAATCGAACTCAGGACCTTGTGCTTGCCAGGCAAGCACTTATTCCACTGAGCTATCTTCCCGGCCCTAATCATTTTCAATGAGACT